CAGTTAGTCTTGAGACCTCTGAAAAAACGGATTCTTAGCTGAGACATGATATGACATGATATGAAAATGACTTGATGACAATATTAGTTTTATGTAAGTTACAAAAACTGGCGGTCAGATGGCTACAATTGACATTAAGAGGCATTTCTATATATCTGAAGAACTTTGCGTCCAGAAGTCACTCTAACTTATCCAAAACTACCTTGGTATGGCCTTCGTCAACTATTTTAATAAATGAATCATTTACTTTAACATATTTAACTTTAAATTCTGTTAACAGTTAGCTTAGTTTTCATAGGTTTTTGAACCTTTAGGTTTATGAAGGGTGCAATGACTTGCATTAAATGTTTTTTATGTTTTTGTTTTGTTTATAGAGTCTTGAAAAACTAAGCGAACGATTATACCAAAGCTTCAAGCTTAATTTATTGCAGTTACCTTCCCATCAAAAGTTGAATCTTACCTAGGTTTATTAAAGAATTGATATTGTTTTAAAAGGAAAGGGATTTTGGTCATTTACTGACGGAAACTCTGGTTTGTCTGAAAATATCATTGAATCTATTTGCGTCTAACGTATGATAATGTATGAAGAGAGTCATGGTGGTGGAGATCACGGCTTAAGTTATGGAGGTCCTCTGGGCAGATGGGTCATTGTAATGAACGCTTTAGAGGATAAGCTGCAGTTGCTTTTTCTAATTTGAAATTTTAGTAGTCTTCGTTACATCTGTTTTCAATAAAATTATGATGCAGCTTTTTGAACGTGGCTACCAGAACATAGACAACATTATCCGTTTTCGTGATTATGATTATGATTGTATTTCTCATCATCAGATGAAAGAAAACAATGAGTTTTCTGTGACAGGATACAAATAGCACCAGTGTTATAATAAGCTTCAAACCCGTTGCAATTTGCTTGCCGGCAGAAAACCCTCAATCCTTACTGAGTGAATCAGTTGCTCGTAAATTACGACAATCTTCTCCTTTTCCTATTATACACTGGTCACTTGTTTTAATTGATTTTTTATGTTTAACTATCAACTCAATGCAGTTTTCAGTTTGGCTACCGGGTCCCAACGGAGTTCATAGCCAAACTCTACGCGGCTGAAATCTAAGTGTCAGTGAGGAGCGTTAAACTTATGACCATGATGAGGTATTGATAAATATTGTGATCACGCACTCCAGCATACGTCCCGAAGTCTCATCATCCATAAAGTCCTGACGACTCTTGTGGTTGATTCTTTGTGCGGCTACTTCAGCCTCTTTTTGAACTTTGAGTGGTGCCAAACAACACTTTCGGAGGAAACGTTTCCGCACTGGAGGATGACGAACGAGGGTAACAGCTGTTTCAGCGCTACTACAACCTGATCATGAGCTATTTCGGGTATCGCTTGCGCTCTGGTTTTAACTCGCTTACTGACAGAGGGTTTAAAACTGATTAAATGTTTTTCTTCTACCACGTGGTTTGCTATTACGTCATTCAGTTGATATGGTATGCAGGTAACATAGTGCCGATCTGAAAACGCATGAGTGGCCTGGTTATTGCATAAGCGAGGTAATATAACTAATTCGACGGCAGTCGTTTAGGTTATGCGGTGCTTCACACGCTTGTGACAAAGCCAGTCTCTACTTGTCATTTGCATACGCCTCAACATTTTGCATACCGTGGGAAAATTTTCACTCGTCAAAATTCTGCGCAACACAGAACAATACCTGAAGTTAAAACTTACCTTAGGTCAATCTGCGATAACAATTGAAACCTCAGATATCACAAGACTCTGGTGTTCCCTCCTCGTGACTTTTAGATGGTCATTAAAATAACGACTTGTGAAATTAAGTAGTGTGGAAATGTCTCTTCTTCTGTCCGCAAAAAATTATGACATTCCTGAAGCAGAGTCAAAGGAATGCTTCCAGAAAGGACGAATATGCAGCAATTACTTTTGTCAACCGACGGTTGGATCTGAGACCGTAGGATCGCAAAAAATTGTACAACGAAAAGTGTCTCGACGGACCACGCTCCAAGCTCAGGTTCTCTTCTGCTGAAGTTAAGCCAATGGCTAGGTTGGAAATTTGGAAGAACCTGTCTGACGATACCGCCATGGCTACCAAAAGGACTAAATGGGCATCGCAACTGCCTCATTGACAGACGGTTAAAGTCCACAAACGCGGTTGGTTGTGACTCTAGCATGAAATCGTAGCTATTGATACTTGCTAGAGATTGACTTATGGCTACCGAACAAAAATTCGCTTTTTCTAGCACTGCTGTTCCCATTAATGTTCCTCTAGAGGTTTTAATGGCTTTTCGAGAATGGGCTGTCCATGAGAGGCATATCGAAGTTCTACAGTAACCATAATCTGATTCTCAGAAGCCTGTCATATCAACTGACCCACCGTATGTGACACTGCTGTTTCTTTAGTCACCGAGTGCTTCATCTGCAGAGAACATTCAAAATACTTATGCTAATCTGGAGAACATCAATGGCCTCCCTCGAATTAATCGGTGTTCTCATTCAAAAGTCATGGCCGCATATAAGCTTCGCTGACGCCGTATTCAGATCTCCAGAACAATGCGTATTAATCTCTAGGTGTTGATAGCAGAACTACTTCCATAAGCTAGTAATCTTTGATTCATTCTACCAGAAGATCTACACCAGCATGAGCACGTGTCTTGAAGTCGACACCAGAGTAGAATAACTTCCATCTGCAGATGTTCAGAATTCGA